AAAATTTTAAGTATAAAACAAATATCAATAAAATTTAACTTTTATTAGAGTTAAATAAAAATTTACAGTTGTTTATTTTATTATATTATCCCCGCCTCTAAATTGAGTGAAATGGAATGGATTATTAGTGTATTGTTTATTTTTATCAAAAATTATGGGAATATACTTATTTATTCTCTGGTACTATAGGTTCGAAATTAATTCATCACGGAATAGTTCTTATGGAACTTAATCTTTTACATAATTATGGGTGGGAGTGAAAATAGTGATATAAATAGGCGAAAATATTGTATGTATATATCGGAAAGATTTAATTAGAAAGAAGCTGTAGACGAAGAGTCCAGCTTCTGCAAGCTGTAGACGAAGAGTCCAACTTGCCGCAAGCTGTAGACGAAGAGTCCAGCTTGCGCTAAGAGTCCCGGCTTGCGATTGCTGTTCAGACATGACGTTAGTTCAAATTTCAAAATAAGAGAAAGGAAGTGAATAAAGTTGTGATATGTCAGCGACAGTCGAGCATAAATTGGAAATCTGGTTGCACCGTTACACAGGACTATTGTGGCTTAGAACCAATACGCGCGCGTTTATAATTTTACTTTGTATATATTTTTGCGTGTATATTTTTAAAGTTTGCGCGCATATCATTCATTATATAATACGCGCTTGCACATCCCATATAAAATCCATTTAATTCCATCTTTAGCTCCATTTAAGAATTTAAGGATGACTCATCAAATCTCGCTTTAATGGCCTTTTATCATGTTACAAAGATCGAGGACTGGACATGTGCTAACCTGGTGGAGTATTATCGTAAAAAAATGGATAAAAAAAATTGGAAGAAAATATTGGATTGGATTAAAAAAGATCTCGTAAGGGTGACAAGTTTTGACTCTGAGTTCAACATGACCTGTAAAGAAAAAGCACGAGAAATCTTGGACAATTGGAAGGTAACTCATTAGATTTGACGAATTAAGAGCTAGTCTTTTACTCAGCATACATGAAATGTTTCTCGCAATATAATAATTTAAATCTTGGTTTTCAAGGATTGGATTACATCGTATGACGACTTTATAAATAGTGATGACACTCACGCGCCTCTCGTGAATATGAATATGCGGGTAAATACTATAAAGCAACTTAACAGTCTGGCCGGAGCTTCAACACAAAATATCGATAGTCGTCGTACAACTTCGGGAAAACGCTATCGAAATAGGGAAGAAACGGAAAAAGCTCCAACTCAATTAAAAAAGGTGAGATTGTTACGATCTATGAAATGCAAACTCGTGATTTATTTATGAGCACTGATTTTCAAATTTTAGAAGACACTTTCTAGCGGAAGTTCAACAGAAGGACCAGATATTCGGAACTATTTCTTCTCGCAGATTCGTACTGAGCAGAATGAACAAGATCAGCGACCTCGAACCCCGAACATGAAATTTATTCATCAAGTGCATCTGGCGTTTCCATGCCGCCTTGGAACCGAGAGGTAATTGTATTATCATTATTATTTAATGTGTAAATGTAATTTTTTTTTCAAAAGACTTTGCGATCTTTATTTATGTGCACAAGGACAAGAGCGATAATGATGAGTCACAAGAACCTTGTGATTTAGATATTGATCCCATATCAGATCACAAATTACCTGACGAATTATGTGAGGTAATTAACTTTGCTTTATTTTACATAATCAATGTACTCACTTCTATCCAATTTTAGGAAATGAAGGGTTTGAATGCCAGCGAATTGTTAATTCGAAATAAACTGCTTGAAATTCTCCACCAAAACCAATTCAAGGATTTAAAATCGGGCAAAACACTGATGAGCTCGAATTTCTTAAACGGAATTATAGATGTGTCAGATGCCAATTTTAAGACAATGATTAAATCGGAACTGAATAAATTGAACGAAGGACAACAATGGTTTGATAAGGTTCTCAGTAAACAAACATGGATTTTAACTCCTGAATTTACCAATTATCGCAATCAGTTCACGGACGATGTATGCAATCGTATGCAATTACCCACTTTGGTACGCAAGTCCTTCGTCACAGAACGCTTTGATCCCTTCGTTCACGAAGGGCATGATATCGCGCAGGATATCATGAAACACTTGTAAGTATTTTGTTTATGTAGCATTCTTCAGATGGTTACTGACATTAGTACCTCAATAATAAAATAGTTCAGTGCGGTTGGAAGCACCATGCAATATATATTCAAAAGCGTCAAAATTGGAAAGAACCTACGCGATTGATACGATTATATACGTTATGAATAGAATTTTCCGAATGCATTTTGATGTTCTCGATGGAAACTGGTTAGTACCGATTGTAAGTTTCTACTAATTTGGTTATATTGTTGATCTATTCTTTTTTTATTAATTTAGGATAGAAATACTTACAAGTGATACAAAGTCCCATAAGATCGATGGTGTCTTGAATGTTTTTCAAACAAAAAAGTTTAGACAGACAATCATAATTATAGAGTTTTCACACAGTCAATACGCCTCAGCAGACAAGGAAACTGACGATCAGGTGAAATTGAGTCGAAACGCCAAGAGAATTTTAAACAAATTACTTGATAGAGTCTCATATGAGCAAGCACGTGTTTATACTATTCAAAGTATTAGTAAGTATCATTATAAAAAGAACTATCCTGAAAGTCAAAATCCTTAAATTTAATTGTCACATTGTGTGATGTCGGGTTCTAGTATTCAAACGCGCTTACGATTAGTACCTTTACTAATCATAAGCAGGGCTTGAATACTGGAACCCGATATCACACGACACAACAATTAAATTTTAGGATTTTGACAGACCCATTATAAAATATTTGTTAATATAAAGATTCGTGACTACTTCTCTTTTTTTTGTATAAGATGGAAATATTAATATAAAATATATGGTACGGCCTCTACCTTCTATATATCTGTATGAAGAATTTGTTAGTATAAAAATACCTACGACTTTTGATGATATGGAAGAATTCGCCAAAAGTATGTCAACCCTTATGGATTTTCAGGTAACGGATTATTATAAATATTTATAGATGTTTTTTGCATAAAATTGATGATACTTTGTTTTTACTATCATAGACTGATGTTTTGCAAACTGTTAAGCTAATGAATAAAAAACCTATTGAAGGCAAAAAGGTATATAAATCCGAAGTTAAAGCCACGCCAAAAAAGAAGAAAGACTATAACAATACCTTGCCTTCGTATCCAGACTCACCTTTATATCCAGACTCACCTTCATATCTAGACTCACTTTCATATCCAGACACACCTTGCCCTGGATCACCAAGCGGAGATTTAATTTGATTTATATTTATATACATATATGGAAATTTTATTATCAATATCCAGGAATATAAAAGTTATATATTGGCATTTAGCTGTTATCTGTAGTATAGCCCGCTGTAGTACTATTGGGTTGTATTTTTAAAATGTGTACTTATTCCTGTATATATATCGGAAAAATAATAATACATGTAATAAATATATAATTGTGTTGAATAAGGCGATATAAAAAAAATTTCTTGGTTTTCACATCCCGGCTGGGTCAAAAATATCTAGACCCGGAATTTTTTTTTATAGCGCAGCATATAAGTAGCCAATAAAACTATAGTTTATTAATTATCAAACTATCAATATATTGTTATACAAATAATCATACATTTTTCATGAGCGGTTTTATAAGTGATTCATAAAACATATTTACTGTATAGTCAATATAGACAAATATGTAAGTACATATATACAGTACATATATAGCTATTTTGTCCGGTTATTTTAGATTTTCTAAGTGTTTTTCTCTATGATTTGGGTACTACAAAAATCCGGAAGTGAGAATTAGACTTCAGTGTAGTAAATTTAGCTTCAGATAAATTGTAATTAGAGATGGGTTCGGTCAGCTAGTAGTTGGCTAGCCGATCGGCTATAGCCGTAGTCGATGTAGTCGACTATAACGGCTTAGCTGACCGGCTAGCCGATCCCAAAT